TTTGGATTAAATAGAATTTAGATGAAGTTTCTTTTAATCCAATTTTTTCTTCTTCACAAATGATTTCTGGTCATTTGATGGTGGGGTCGCACACTATTATGCTTCTCTCAGCTGTTTATGCTTCTAATTCATTTGAAGAGAGAAATAAGCTTTAGGCTGAATTGGGGGATGTTAATCCTCATGGTGCTTTGCCATGGGCTGTGATTGGTGATATCAATACTTGCAGGTTCCAGTCTGAGAAAAAAAGATGGGAATATTATCACCTTGGATAGGCTGAATCCTTTTAATTCTTTCATATTTAATAATAATCTGATTGAACTTCCTTCTACTGGCAACTTTTATACTTGGTTCAATCAAAGATAAGACAATCCTATTCATCTTAAGTTGGATAGGGTTTTAGTGAATGAAACCTGGGTTAGTAAATACCCAAACTCACACTATAATGTGTTGAGTAGTCTTGTGTCTGATCATACTCCTCTTATTCTCAGAGATGTTCCCATTAAAAATTCACCTAAGCAGTTTATGTATAAAAATTACTGGAGTCATATTCTGGAGTTTTGGAGCATTCTTTTGAAAATTTTTCAAATTTTGGATCAAGGGAATTCTATCATTAGTTTGTATAAGAAGCTGAAATTATTAAAAAGGGAGATCAAAACTAGAAACTGGAATTCTTCCAATCACATTGCTATTAAATGCACTTCCTTAGCTTCCACACAAGATATGTATCAGAAATTGATTGACATTGATCCTCTTAATAGGGAGCTATGTGGAGAACTCAAAAAAATCAATGCGAATATTAACTACTACAATTCTCTTCATGCTTCTTGGACTATCCAAATATCTAAAATTAAATCGTTAAAGAATGGAGAAGAAGATTTGAAGTTTCTCTATTCCAAAATTAGGAAAAGGAAAGTTTTTAATAGAAGTTCTCTCAATGTTGCTATGTTACAATCTTGTGATAATGAGAACAGCAACCATATGAGTATCATTCAACATTTTAAAAATCTTTATAACTCTACTCCTCCTGAGTTAAATGATACTAGTCTTATTCCCAAAGGAAAATGATTCCTGAAAGTGCTATTTCTTCTTTAGTGAGGCCTGTTACCAATGAGGAGATTCACTTGGCTACTAATTCTGGTTGTTCCAACTCAGCACCTGAACCTGATGGTTTTAACTTCAATTTTTATAAAAAAAACCTGGAGTATTACGAGACCCTTAGTTTGCAAGGCTATTAAGTCCTTTTTTAGTAAATACTACTTACCTAAATGTGCTAAAGCTACTGTTATAGCTCTTGTTCCTAAGAAAACTCATGCAGATAATGTTCAAGACTTCCGGCCTATCTCTCTTTGCAATATTTTTCACAAAATTATTGCAAATATTTTTGGAAGTCGTATGAAAATCATTATGCCTAATATTATTGAGAATAATCAAGCCTCTTTTATTTCTAATAGGATTGCTACTGATAATCCTATATTGTCTATGGAAATCATCAATCTTTTTAAAAAGCAATATAAGATGAAACTCTTTTGTGCTAAATACGATATCAAGAAGGCATTTGATACGATTTCCAGGAACTTTCTTTTTGCTAGAATGGCTGATAAGGGATTTCTTACTATCTTCATTAACTGGATCAAAGCCTGTATAAATGATACTCATTTTTCCATTTGTTTGAACGGTACACTGAAAGGTTTTTTCACATCTTCTACTGGACTCAGACATGGATGTCCACTGAGTACATACCTTTTTTGTATTATAATGGATTCTCTTTCTTGTCTCCTAAATGCTAACCCTGATTCCAGTGGTTTTGAGGGGTTTAAAATGAATAACTTTCATCTGTCTCACCTTGCTTATGCAGACGATATGTTGGTTTTTGGCAAGGTTGGTTCTAACAATTGTGATAAGCTTATGAGGATTATTAATCTATTCTCTAAACTCACGGGACTTCAGATGAACTTGCTTAAAAGCTCTCTCATTATCTCCCCAAGAGTTTCTTGCCCTAATGATATTTCTAGTGTGCTTCAAATTCATAATATAGCTGATTATTTTACTTACTTGGGTATTCCTTTATCTTTGAGTCAGACTAAGGTGGCGGATTTTGCCCCTCTGATGGAAAAAAATCATAATGTTATTGGCTGGTTGGAAGGCGAGGTTGCTTTCCTTTGCTGGTAGAATGCAATACATTAAATTTACTATCACTAACACTGTGGCTTATTGGATTAGGAGCATAATTCTACCTAAAGCTATTTACAAACAAATAGGTAAGCTCTGCTCTAAATTTCTATACCATGGGGACACTGAATGCAGAAAATTACATCTTATATCTTGGAAAAATACTTGTAAACCATATTCTTTGGGTGGACTGGTATTGCCTCTTTACAAGCTTTAAACTTTGCTTTTAACTGTGGCATTATTATGAGATGTTACAACACTGATTCTCCTCTTGCTAAGTGGTGCCTTGCTAGATACATCAGTCTTTGAAAACCTGTAATGAATACTGCAATGGCTTTCTGGAAAAATATTTGTAAAACAGCTGATATTGCTAGGGAGAAATTCAAATTTATTATTACTCATAACAACCCAATTTCTATTTTTTTGGATCACTGGTGTTTGGGGGAAACTATCCTTGATAGATTTCATTATCTATCCACTAAAATAGCTAAAAACTCCTAGTTGGCTATCTGGATTCAGCATGATGCTTGGAATATTCCGGTATTTAATAACCCTTCTATTAGAGATTTTATTCGGAATATACCCATTGCTACTAATAATAGGTATCACCTTAGTTGGGATAACTTGGGAAATGCCAAGTTTAAAGACTTCTATTTATATTATTTTGCTAATGATGTTCATGTAGACTGGCATCATTTGGTATGGCATAAAAAACATGATTTGAGATTCTCTGTTTATTCGTGGATGGCACTTAAAGGAGGCTAAAAACTTGTGATGTTTTGGCTATGAGAAACATTCATATATTGGATAAATCCTGCTCCTTATGTCATAATAGCTTAGAGAATACTTCACATTTGATGTTTGAATGTGATTACTCTTTTAAGGTGCTTGAAAAACTCATTCCTTCCTTTCAGACATATTATTTTAGACCAACTATTTTTTTAGCCTTACTCCATATTGATAACATGGATAAGTCTAAAAGCATTAAGAATGGCTATCTCCTTACTTTAAATGATATTATATATTTCATCTGGATGGAGAGGAACAATAGAAGGTTCAAGTTTGTTGCTTTATGCACCAATTCTCTGGTCAAGAAAATATCAAAAGCAATTATTATCAAATTAATGGGTTGGAAGAATGGCAAGGAAATAAAAGAGGCACTGAATCTGGCTTATTACTGATATGGGTACTTTTTGATTCTGGACTCGTGAAGGGAGGTTTTGGTTTCTTACTATGCTGTAGCTTGCTGATTTGAATGGTATAATTTATCCTGTATGGGTACCGATGCGCTAGGAGTGCTGGTGTCAAATTTTTTGATGCCCATTCCATTTATAAAGAAGACCCTGATCTGATTGGCTATCTCTGAGGCAATCTAAAGATTGACAAGCATGCTATTGGGTTGTGGACAATGATGACAAACTGCTATCATCTTTATGGACGGCCCTTGGGCAACCAAAGATGGAAGGATTATACGTTTTTCTGAATAAAAGAATTTTCTGAGTCCCACCCATCTTCACAGGCTTTTGTCTGTTTAATTCATATGACATCCGGTTAAATTCTATTCAAGATGGTCTGTTGTTACTGATTTTATTTCAATTTTATGTTGTAAATGTCTGTAGCTCTTTATT